GGTTATCTGTCCAAAGTAATAGTTTATTCTAAATTCCCCAATGCATGCATTTTGAAAACAAGGCACTATCTGCCCAAGGTGTGTTCAAAACAATGGTTTGTTGCTAAACTCATATATATATATATATACACACACGCACACAAGTAACTCTAAGTGTCACAAAATTCGATGATACACATTTGCAGATCTAAAATTTATTTACACCTATACAAGAGATGAATTGAGAAATCTAAAGTGGTCCAAATCCTAATTTTAAAGTAAATCATGTGTAATTTAGTTTAGAACAACGGTTGTATGAATAATAATAGAGGAACTTATGACTAGAACATCACTGACACTTGGTGCTGTAAAGTGTAAGATGGGTGTTTTTATTGAAAAATAGTGAAATAACTTGCACTTGTAAGCTGTGGACTAAAACTTTTACTTAAGGTAAATCTACTCTTATTATTTAACTATATTCTAGAATATTAGTATAGGCCTAATTTAACAGCTTGCATTTAAAAACAGCACTGAACTGACATGCAGGTTTACCAGATAAATAATCAACAATGTTCTCTCTAGCTTAACTTCCCATGTGGCATGCCTTATAAGTTATATAATTTAATGAATGTATACATCCTTAGATATGTAATATTGCTGTAGCCATGAAAATGAACAATGATTAATATATATTGACTCAGTAACTTCATAATGACATATATTTAGTGATGACTTACTTACCTTACAAGTCATGGGTATTTGAGCCTACATAAAATTTATCTGATGACAGATGTAATAAGGTTTTTGTTTGAAATCATTTGGGCAATTACTTGTCAATGTTCACTTGAAAATGTTTAAATGTCAATTTAGAATGATTTTTCTAAGGTCAGAGGTTAAGGGTAGTAACAGAAAGGGGGACATCCAAAGGTATAAAGGTTTTAGTTTGTAGTCAATGGGGCAGTTTTTGAGATTCACATGAAAACTCAGAAAAAATACACTAAAACCATTCAATATTTTGTGTAACTAATATTTTCTCAAGATGACTGAACATGGACCTGAGACAAGCCATAGGCTTTTATGATGCTGGCAGTAGCACTGTGAATGGCCAGTTTTAAAAGGAGGCTTTCTGTTGTAAACTTACCTTTCACAAGGTTGCAATTGCCAATCTGGACTAGCAATTTATAACTAATTCCCAATTTCACATACACAGAGAAGTGAATGTATTATTAATAAGAATTCTAAAACCCCAAAATAATTTATCTAAAGGAAAGAAAGAAAAAAAGATCAGGTCTGGTTGTCTCAGGATTGACTGTTCAGTCACTTGTCATGTAAGGTGTCAATGTGACAAAGTCATGTTCAGTACAGGCAGATGCAATCAGGATAGGCTATGAGTTAGGGTTGGTATTACAAACATTATCCGGGTCAAGACAGATTAGATGGCAGCTTGTTAGAAAACATGGAGGTCATGTTACAGTTAAATGTGAATGCCAAGATTCTTAGAGATCACGTCCATTATATAGGGAATATGTTTGTAACAGGAAATGTTATTGATAATATATGACAAAATAAGAAAAATAGTGAAAAAATAATTATTTCAGATAAACTTCAAAAGTTTGGTATCCATAACAATTTTAAACTGCCACATATGTTTAATTTTCTTTGTAAGTTATGAAAAATCATCAACTAGTTATCAAATGCTTTTAAACTTAGATGATGACATGTAGTATTTTTTCTAAATTTTGTTAATGAAATCTGGATCTTTATGATCCAGATATGGGTTATCAGTACCATAAGACATTATTAGGCTATCTGACCTCAGTTTTCAGATACTGCACTGCAATCTGCTGTCTTAACAGATTAGGTTGGGGGTTGTGGTGGGTAAGGTTTTAGGAATGACCATTTAATACCTGTCAAGTTCAGATAAAGATCTATAGCCTTGGGCTCCAGTCCCATCACAAAATGTAGTGGTTTCATGCCAAAAATATTGCAAAATGTAAGAGTTATTAATGCTGAGGAACCAAGATAAGAGTTTTTGTTAAGGGCTATTACTGCTGGGACCATTTAGCCAGACTTTTCAGTTGGAATGAGAATCTACAGAGTTGATAAGTGGGAACATAGAACACTACTACATTCAGGAAAATTTTCTGGTTTCCAGTTCTTAACAAAAGTCCTGGCTTACTAATTTATCTCAGTCCCCATATTTCTAGTAGTTAATTTTATTCAATCCAGATTTCTGTACAATGTCTAGTTGGTCATATGGTAGTCAGTTTTCTATCTAGTTTTATGTCATTAACCCTTCAGTAAGATGACCAGTTGTTAGCTGAGCAAGTGGCCACAACCACCCAGTGTTTTCATGTTCATATATAGTGAACGAAACTATAAAGTTTTTTGTTTATAGCTAAGCATAAAGAAACATAATTGGCTATCTGTGTTATGCCACTGAGGGGCAAACTATAAAAGATGTATCCTCTATATATTTGACAATATCCTGGTTCTGACTGTTTTAAGATCACTGAAAACATTGCAGTGAATCACTAAAGCAAAATTAAACCAGAATATTTAAGGTATGTTTGGGGGGGATTATTGATGTTGCATTAATTGTATGCTTTAATTCACTTTCAATCCATACAAATAGACGAGGATGAGTCTTTATAGTATTTGTGGTGACTAGTGAAATGAAAGAGTTTTTCTGAGTGTTTAATAATAGACTTAACTTAATTCCAACAAACAAATAATGGCCACTTTTTAATATGCTGGTGGAAGATCGTAATGAAAATTGGTAAGACAGCTAACTGTGCTTTTGTTGCCAATGGGTGGAAATGTAATTTTCAGCCTATTTTATAGAGTTTGTTAGGACACATGATTCAAGCAAAATAAATGATAGTGCTTGGTAAAGATATAAAACATATGATATAAGTGCAGTAAGAGTGATAATGCTTGATAAAGTTATAAAACACCTGGTATAAGCAAGATAAAAGTGACAATACTTGATAAAAATATAAAACACCTAATATATAGAGCATTTTGGTATTAGTTTTTGAACTGTGCTTATTTCGAGCATATCTTTATCAAGCACCACCACTTCTACCATACTTATATCATGTGTTCTATATCTTTATCAAGTATCATCACTTTTACCTTACTGAACAATTTCTAGTTCTTTCAACACAATGACTCTTATAAAAGTCATTGTGTTAGCAGTAAATCCACAATCTCTTTATGATTACCAAGTCTAGAAGGAGTCTTAAACTCGTTATCAAACTCTTGGTGAGCCATATTTTCACATTTTGCATGATAAAGTAGCAGAATTCCTTTTATTGCTTCAGCTATTGTCATGTTTTTAATCATCTCACTTTTGACTTGTTCAGTTATGAGATTCTAGTTGATTGTTTGTTGTGTTTCATATATTATTTAGTTTCAAATGCAGCCCAATAAGGTAAAACAAAGTTCTTTACCAAAGCTTATGGTAATAGGCCATAATGATGTCAACAAAAACTGGAGCAAGGTGGCCAAATACAAAACTGAAAGCTTTTGTTGGCTTAGAAAAACAAGACTACAATATGTTTTTACTCTTCTGCTTTTTGTTTCACTACCTACTATTAAATTGTTAAAAGCCCCCTTTTTTACACCTTGTGTCAGATTAAATTTGCATATTAACTGAATTGGTCCAATACAAATTTATGTGAAATATGACTGTTTTTTCAGCTTGAGGTTGACAATGCTGTTACTTTGTAGACAACTCTTTTGCTGCAAGCAGAAGATGAGACAGAGAGATGGCTATAATCAAAGCTATATTATATATATAATGGAAAAAAGGGTACTAAAATATTTAATAGTGGCACATCATTCCATATCATATCAAATACCTTTTCTGAAAAAGATTTAACCTGCATCTTTATACGAGAAACAGGTATCTACTATAATCAGCTGAACCATTACGTTTTAACTGTTTGCATTAATAGGTCAACTTCCATTCTGTCTTAAGAATGTGGTTTTAGATCCACTGTAGATAATTCAAAAAACTTACATCCCTATAGCCAGTAGACAGATATTACAAAATTATTCTTTTACAACTCAAACAAACTTGTGGAAAGCTAAAGAGACATGAAAGTTAGTTAAAGCTATATGAGGAACTGACCAGTCAATATCCATAATAATAGATATCAGGTTACCAAATTATTATTCTTTCATTTATGTGTACTAGACGTACTTACAATTCCCTGAAAGTATTTTGTTTCAAGAGTAAATAAAACCAAAATTAAGAATAACAAATATTTTTATTTCTTGCTTTTGAAGTTCATATGTCATGCTGTGTTGTAGCCTATAGAGTGCATAATTCTTCTCAAGATTCTTGGCCTGCACACATTTTACTAAGTTACGACAGTACAAATTGCAACATTAAAAGTCCCTTATGTGATGCCATTTTTAGTGTCTTCTGACTGAATGACAGACAACACACTACTGAATAGTGGTGCAAATGGTTTAGTGTTTCTTAAAACTTTACATAAGCTTCAAAAATCAACACAGTTTTGAAATTATTTGTTATTATAAAAACATCTCTTACCAATATATAACAAATAATTCTAGTACAGTACCTGTAGCTTTTTTACTAGCTGATATGGTTGGCAAGTGATATAGCATATTATTACTGTGTTAAATAGTTTAATGATTGATACTGTATATACTGTAAGTATCATCTAACTGTTATTAATTATTCACATGTTCAATAAGCAACAGATCATGTTAACAATGCAGAGCAGCATTGTGTTATGTGTTGTTTGGTTGAATGGTGTTCACTAGTGTGACCTTCTTTTATAAATATTTTAATATCAATTCTACTTGTAGTCCTTCAGGTGATAGGGGGAGCTGCAGTAAATGGTCCTTATGCTTTGATTACGACAGCAGTTTCAGCAGAACTGGGAACACACAAGTCGCTTATGGGAAATGCTAAAGCACTAGCTACTGTTACTGCTATTATTGATGGAACAGGATCTATAGGTAGGTTTTTCAACAGGACATTGAATACATCAATCTAACTTAGTTAGAAGAATAACCATTCAAACACTATTTCCATTAAATGAAAATAGGAATTTATTACAGATGTAAAAATTATAAATTTACTGACTGACACATCCAGTAAATTAAAGACTGTATTATTAGAGCTACAAAGTATTATCGTGTTATGTGTTTATAGAGTTCAGTGGGTGATATGGGGGGCAGTGTGGCCTAGTGGTTATTCATTTGGACATTCAGTAGAAAATATTGCAAGTTTTGCCCATAGCATGTATTTTGTCCTTGGGCAAGTCACTTCAGTCTCCTCAGTGGATATCTGTGATGGCCTGGCATCCCATGTGTCACAATTCTCATCTGCTTGTGACACGGAAAGTAGGAGTTAAGCACCAGCCTTCTGTACCTTTCAAAGAGATGACAAGGATTAACTAACTTATTTATACAGTAATAGTCTCTAGCATTACTGTCACACATGCTAACTATATAATATCATAATCAGTAAACTCCACCAATGAATACAAAATAGTACCCTTTAATGATACTTACAAAGCATACTAATTATGTAACATCCTAATCACTAAGCTCCACAATAAAATACAACTCTACTTGTCGAAACGTTGTACATTTGCTGTTATGTTAAACTTATATTAAAGTTTTTCTTCATTACCCATTCAAGCCATCTCCAAGCATTACTACTTACAGGAGATGCTAAGTTATATAACATCACAGCCAATGAATTCCATAAAATAAGAATATATCTTCACGTTAGTATCATAAGTGTTAAACATATAAAAAAACCAGTAAGTTACAGAAACCAACAAAATACTGTTACAGTTACTAATTATATAATGGCATAAAAATTAAATTCCACAAACAAATACAACAATAAAAAGCTTTATCATTACTTACACAGGATGCTAATTATATATCATCATAATAAGTAAACTCCATTAACCAGTATCACAACAATAATAAGCTTTGCCATTACTTATAAAGGATGCTAATTACATACTATCATAACAAGTAAACTCCTAACCACTAAATTGAAACTTAAGACGCATGTAGTTGTGTGTTTAATTCCTTTCCTATTATTATCTTTGGAGAACCAATATTGCTTGAAACATACCCTACTCCTCATCTAGTTATTATTATTTTTCAACCTGATTTGAACCTATATCTTAAAATACTATAGTTAGTAAAGATTTAGAGAAATTATAAAAAAATGGTTATTTACCTATATTACTAAGCATATTGATACTTCCAAAGGCATCATACAGGAATAGCTATATTATTAGAGAAATAATAGATATATATATTAATAAGGATTTATACACATGCAAATAAATAAATATTATCATGCTGACAGAATTATTGCAAACTGTTTAATGTAAGATGCTTAATTTAATTTTTCGAGTTTCATGTTACTGATTAACATTAGAAAAGTACTAATTATTATAAAATGTAACATAAAAACTGCTTATATATGTTAAAACAAAAGCTAAATGTACACGTCACTGTACACAACTGTATATTGAAACTTTTTTCTTACTTAGATCATGATAACTCACATCATAAGAACAGCACCTTTTATAGTTTTTCTCTATTAAGGAACCATCAATTTTCAGTTCAAATGTTATTTTATTACTTGCAAATTTAAGTTTGAAAATGGCATCTTTATGTTAAAGCTCTCTGATATTTGTTTATTTATTTACACTTTCTAAAAAATACTGCTGTATTTGTAGTTTTTTTAACTATTTTCTGAATGGCATTACTTGTATTGCTGTGGCACTTATATGTGTAATCCCTGTTTTTTTTCAAGGATAATGCTTTGACACTTATACATTTCTTATAATTTGTTCTTAGTTTTAAATTTTTTGTATTTAAAGCTATTAAAAACTCATAAACAATGTTCTGGTCATAACATCTCCCCTCATTCTTTTCATGCAATTTCTATGGAAAACAACAACCGCAAAAGAAAAATCAAGGAATAATAAATCTGTATAAACAGATATCCTTGTTCCCCACTATATTTATTCACCAATGGTATTTTAGCTGATTTATTATTGGCTTACATAAAGTGTTACATCCTGAAATGTGATTCTATAAAACTCACTCATACCTTGAACCTTGTCAAAACATTGTAATTTTTCTTTTTCTTTATGTATAGATATTTTATAAGTTTATTTATTCACTTTTACTAAAGGATTCCTCATTTTTACATAGTTTTGGTATTTGTATGTTTGATTTCTTTACTTTTATGTTATTTCAATAATTAATGTCCAGCATGGTTGAAGTTTAAGGTGCTAATGCAAATCAGTTATTCACCTACAATTTAACACTATAAGGTAGATACATTTTTTTCATCTCATAACCTAGTAGACTGACTTACAGTAGGCACAGCTATTCCAAGCAGCGAAGCACATGTTATTGCACTGGCACCTGTACGATCAGCAATGTAACCTGCAAGTACTCCTCCAATAATTCCTCCTATGTCAAATGGCACTGACAGATATGCCGATTCTTTTGAGCTTGATGTTGCTGTATAGAATTATTAAAAATAGTAAAATAACAATTATTTAATAAAATGTTTGCTCATAGCATATAAAATCTAAAACATGTAAATATCCTTTTTACTTTTATTAAGTTGCTTGAAGTTCTTATCTCCTTTTCTACTGTTAGTCTTACTCTAACATATTAAACCTTTGGCCTATGTTAATTGTTAGGCCTGTTAGTTAACTTCATGCCATACTTTTCCTTGCCTGTAACTTTACTCTCTTGTGCTGTTGTCTGTCTGTTGTTTTTGCTCATCTCACACTATTTATATCTTTATCACTTAATCATCTGGCCTTATAGAAATCTCTATGTTATCGATGTCAGTGTATTGCATGCAATGTTTGATAGTCTCAATATCAATGAATTATAAACACAACTTCCTACAATCGTCTGCTTTTAACTCTTATTATAACATAAACTAAACAATAATAAAATATTCACTCACAAAATAAATTAATAAGTAATATCTGAACTAAACAGTCTTTTATATCATGACAGTCATGACATCCACTTTGACCCCCCACCTGTGCACATAAGGTTAATACACTGGAATTAGTATATAAGCCCAACAAATAAAGTGGAGATATAATTGCAGATAGACAGATATAGAGAAAGATAATTGAGTCAAGTGAGCAGTAGTGACCGTAAGTAAAGTGTGTGAATCATTGTGAATTGTAGCATGTGTTTAAGTTAAAGTGACTGTGGAAATTAAGTGTATTACACAGTTTGTAACAAGAAAGAATAAACTAGTTTTAATCAAGAAGGGACTTGTATCGCTGAAGTCACTTGGAAAAAATTTTTACCAAAAATTATCAAACAAGCAGATACGTAACAATATTATTTGTGTTCAAGGAACAATTATTCATCAAACCATGGTTCTAAAGTAATTGAATCAACCCAAGTGCGCTTTGACAAAAGGAACAGAGGATATTTTGAAGAAAGAAGACCAAATAACTACGGTAACTCATGCCACAATTGTAAGTGAATCACACACAGAATACTAGTGTGATAGTAATAGAGATAGTTTGGCTTGTCAACTGAAATTCTAAAGTAACTGAATAGGCCCAGTGGACTTTTGACAATGAGAAGGGAACTATACATATAGTGTTTATGATATGCCTATAATATCTATAATGTTGAAGAATTTGTTGTACATATGTTTAAATTGTTCTGAATATATATATATTATTTTGAAAGAAAATGAAGTGTGTGCTGTTCATTTATCATTGAATTTACTGCCAACAAGTCATAGACACCTACTGTAGAAGAATCCTAAGCTCAACAACAACAACACAGTATATATTTATACTATCAAGAAGTATAAGTAAAAGCCTTTTATTTTGACAACTGGCAAAAAAATATAAAATCTGAAAATGACGTTTACAAGGTTACATTGAGATTTTATTTACACTTTAATATATATTTATTGAATAAACTTGGCATCAAAATGTAGTTTACAATTCAAATTTTAATATTATACTAAGTTTCAATTTCTTATTTTGTAAAGCATTTAACTACATTCTCAATCTTTACTTCTGAATGTCACATGATGCCTATCTGCTCTGAATTCTTATTTCAGATTTATTTCTTCCCTTACACGGGTTTCAGAATGTCCATCAATTAGAAACACCAACTATAGATACAGACAGACCAGAATTTCAAATAAGAACCTCCATATTCTTAATTTTTACATCCACCACAAAAGCTCCTCTCAACTCTTCATGCTTTTGAAAATTCTCATTTACTTATGCTTACTTATCAATGGTAAATGTCTATAACCAACAGAAAGGCCATTTTGTGAATATGTTATTGTGTTAATTTATTTCAGTAAAAGGCACCATTTCCCAAACAAACCTTTTTTTTTAATGAAGACTGAAGTAGGTGCAACAGTAATTAAAAAAACTGAAATTGTTTTATAGGTCAGAAAGCTAGATAAATTATAGTAGTTTTGGGGCATTCTATTTTACTTTTTTGAGTTATTGTTTGTGTTTTCAAATGAATATTTAAAACCTACATTAATTAGTTTTTGAACAACCAACTTGGTAAAGAAAAATTTAGGGTTAATGAAGACTGGTTTTCAAAAGCAAAATGTTTCAATCCTGAAGTAAATGCTAAATTTCTTATTTTTATGTATATTTTTTATCCACTGATATATATATATATATATGTTTCTTAAAAAGTAACTCAAGTTTAAAAATTAAAAATGTATTAGGTTAAATAAAGGAAACTTAAAGAAAAAATTAATTCAAATATTTTTTTTGCCATGACTAACACAGGAGGAATGTAGGTAGTTAGACAATGCATGATGTAACCAGAAATTTTATTCTGTAAACTTTTCTGAATTACTTCTTGGTGATTTATTGCTATTTGTGGTAGTTAGACATGATTCAAATAGTAAAAAAAGAATAAAATTAAATGAAACAGATGTAAACTGTTTCCAGCCTGAGGATGTTTAGGATGAATAATTGTAATTTTGTTACAATTTGTAGTCATTCTAGAAAAGATAAAAAAAACAGTAATTTAGATTTATTTCATATTTGTTTGTGATGGTTACATGGCTAGTCAAATGGACTATACCTGTATAGTGTTAGGGTAAAGTAAGTAACAGAAATATTACAAAGTTGTACTGAAAACAAATTTTAATAATTAATTTAGAAAGTTCTAGAGGTTATGCAAATAAAATCAAAAAATTAAGATGACAAAAGTATTTTTTTCTTAACTTGAAAATCCCCCTTTCACTCAGAATTGACAAAGTCTGAGTCAGATTGATTAATGTTAATTAAGAGACAAATTTTAGTAGAAATACTTGATTTTGTGTTAACAACATACTTGTAAAGTTCACCAGTAACTTTTCTAATTATGATTATACAAATTTTACACTTACTTGAGGCAGAAATGTATTTTGGTAACCAAAAGAGAAATGTGTAACTGACTAGCTTGGCAAAGAACAGGCATAATGAAAATTCAATTACACCCTAAAATACAAAAACATAAGAAGGGTCATACAACAGAATCAACATGAAAAAAAAGCTATTGTTTACCAGAAATAGACTAAACATTTCTGAAGGTAATATAATCTATAATAACATGAACCAAATCTTCTATTTTACAATTGTAAGTATTTAAAGAACTTGAATTGTATTACTATAAATAAATGTATTACAATAAATAGTAACATTCTCTTATACAGTAACCAAATAAATTAATTTCAGGCTGCTGCAAAAAATTAAGGCCTTCAACAACTACCATATGAAATTTGTAAGCACCTATTTATGGAATAATAGATTTATTTCTGTACAACATTTAAGGCACAAGTAATTATACTTTAAATGTTGTAAATGATCATGTCTCAGTTTGTTTGTTTGTTTTGAATTTCGCGCAAAGCTACACGAGGGCTATCTGCGCTTCATGTCTCAGTGTTATAGAAGAAAGACTGTATAGAAATAAGTCTATTACCTCACAAATAGCTGTTTTGAAACTTTATATTATTTGTAAGTTAAGTGGGTACCTCTTAAAAAGCAAGTAATGAAATTCAACAACTACAGTTTCCTTACTAACTAAATATAGTAGTCCAAAATACTAAAAGATCCTTAGTTTTAATGTTGTATACTTTACCAAGACAGAAAACTGATAATTAAAATTGTAATAAAAATACATGCTTAATTTTAATTATCCATTAAAGTTGCACTTGCTCAATTTTTGTATTTTCATGAAAGTTTGAAGAAAGTTTATAATAATTATTATGTAAACTATTTACATATGTGTTACCCAATTAACAAAGTATGATACCTCAGGCAATATTTATAATCTTAACAATTTATCAATAACTTACATCAAATAAAAGTGTTCTGATTGGTGTATTAGAAACATGGTCTCTTACAGTAGTAAAATAACATATTCTAACCTGAAATACTTTATTACAGGAATATTTTGTAGCAGCTGGTTCTGCAGATATTGTAAAAGTTTATTTGGGGACTTAGTGTTTCAGTATCTACTGAAATCTACAAAAGTGCTGAAAATAATGTATCTTTACAAACATAGCACTTTGTGAACAAAGGAAACTATTTGAAGACAGCAGTTAACAAAAGCAACATGTCATCTCTTGAAAGTGTCTGTGAGCAGGTGCTCAGATCTCTGTCAAGAACAGTTTAATTTTATTATTATTCGAGCCAATTATTAATACAACACAAGTCAAAGCACTTGTCATCTGATGTACTCATTGTATTTGAATAGGTGATAATTTATAAATATATTTTTCAATATTTCTGTCAAGTATCATTTCAAACCTTTTTTACTAGCTTGTGTGCATATCAAACTGAAATTCGAAAAAGTAATAGACAAAGTTCAATGTAATATTTTTGGTAAATTTCTAAAACATTTTCTAGGAGTTACTTCCTTTTATTATATCACATCAAGTTGTAAAACTAAAAAATAAATATGGAACTCACTGGTATCTTCAATGCTCCCCAAAATGTGATGGCCTTGTTTGAATTAGGAAATTCTGAGTTGGGGTTTATCTTTTGATCAATTAGTGGTGCAGTTTCAGTAGACTGTAAAAATTCATGTATAAATCAAATGAAACTGAAATATCATTAAAAAGATTATTCTCAAATACATACATTCAATTTATCATTTATCTAATTCCAGCTGTTATGTATTACAATGTTAAGAAATTTGCCCTGAACCTGGAACCCTCAGCTTACATTAGTATTGTGAGTATGAGCAACCAAGACTCACATCCCTAGCACACCAACTTTTCATCATGGAACACAAATAGAACTAGTTGGAAAATTACTCTGCTCAACTAAGTAACAAATGCATGTATTATATGTATAAATAGTTTTAAACCATTGATATAAGATAAAGTATGCATTACAGATATGTCGAACTCTTTACATCAGTATATGCAAAACCCAAAACTCAGCTTTCTAGTTGATGATACCTTGTTCAAAATTGCATGTTGAAGTATTTGACAACTCACAAAATTAAATAAATAACTCAACTAAAGCAAAGATCAAAAACAATCATAAAAGGCCCAAATTATCTTATTATTAAATTATTTTATTAAGTGCTTATTATTCGTCCAGCCAAACAATAATTTCAAGAAGATGAATCTTGTAAATGAACAACAAAACTAGAACAGGACAATTAGCTGGATTTATCAATTATCCACGAGCATCAATAATATAGACTAGCGTCACATAAAACCACTGATTAATTGAAATTAAGATTAAACCAATTGTAACATAAATAACCAACTGATCAGAATTAGTGTTTCCAATCACTGCCCTATTCAATTACTCAAACTATCCAAGTAATCAAAATATTATCATTATGATTTCCCAGTATTATTTTTTGATTAATTCAAGGTTTTTCAACTTAATTGACTAGTGTCACAACACATGAAAATACTAAACCAATCAAAATTAGTGTTTATAATTATTACTATTTTCAATTATTCCAAGTCTCATGTAAGAATAATCAATTAGTTATATATATGTACTTGACTATCAACTTCCTATAATTGCCCAGTTACAACCAAAACTACTTAAACATTAATCATTAGACTTAAAAGTTTTTATTATTCATTTCTATGATAAAAAAGAAGGATTTACACATATACATAAGAGAACATTAACCACTTGTACTGCCTATTACACAGGCCTGCGATGGTTTTATTGTCTTGAAATTATTACACATTGTACAGTAATCCCTGTATGCTGAATCCATAAATATCAATTTTTCTTCATCACGTACAGATTTTTCACAAAATGTGATAACGCAATACATAGATTTCACACAAAAAAGTCAGGATGAATGGGGATGCATATTCATTTGACATCAATGTTCTTCCCCTTTCTTCAGTTTGTTTGTATTTTTGTTAAGAAACATGATAATAAAAAATGTTCATTGTGGTAAACAAAATAAGAGTTTTAACTAAATAAGAGTTTTCTTTTCTTCCTGATTTGTAAAAAATTCTTATGTGATAGAAAAAATTGAATATGAATTTTGAAATCTGAGTAGCTTAATTATGGAAAATTCATTATTGAAATCAAAACAACTTTTATGAAGTTTAAGTTTGCAGGCCTGTGTTATCTCTACACATACAAAGCTTTTTGACTGGCAGGTTTATATATGAACTATAATAAAATATATGGTCTCTACTTTCTACTTCACTATTCTGAGTGTAGAAGCCATTAAATTGTATGATACAAAACAAAAGAATGGGCTTCATTATTCACTGTCTAAGCATGCTAGCCCAAATTCATCCCCACAAAAAAGTTTAATTCTAAAATCCAAAATCTCAGACTTTAGGTACTGAAGCAGTTTTGGCATAATATCTTGCATTTGAATGGAAAATGTTGTTTTTAATATAATGGCATATATCGATTTTGTGCAAATACTCTCAAGCATATGAATTGGTAGAAAAAGTCATCCTGGACTTTTCTGTAACACATGCCAAAAACAATTGATCAAAGTAAGTAAACTGAAATTCTATCACTATAGAAATTATACAAATGACTTCAGATATACTGCATTGGTAGAAAAAAATACTTATAAGCAAACTGTACAAGACCTTTCAGTTTAATTGCTCACCACAATTAGCTGCAACATGATGACTGGTATGTTTAAACGTGGTAAAATCCAAGATGTTGCTCAATGCTTTGTGTTAATGCCAATGTGGAAAACTGAACAGCCAATTAATACAGGGAGACTAGATTAGAAATATTGTTGAACATCCACAACATAAAGAAAGTATGGAAAATTAGGAAACATTCATATTGATGACTTTTCTGGTACTGTTTTGGAATGCTGGAAATAATGGTAATATGTCAATCCTTCCATAACCAATTAAGTGTTACAACAGGAATAGTTATTTTAAGAATGATAATCAGAACAGGGTACACAAATTTAAATAACGTAAGTTGAGCTATGATTTGTCTCTAGTAGCTTCCATGTCATCTGTAGTTATGGAGATAATGGGCAGCAAATCATGCTAATTGAGATAGCATTTGGTAACTCATAATGGCTGTTTACGAGTGTGACAAACAACTGATAAGTACAAACCTGCATAATGCTACATCAAGCATTAGAAGGTGGTCACTAAGGTTAGACCTGTTTGTAGTGCAATAGGTCATAAGGCTTGTTTCCTGATGAAAATGCTTGTCTTCACCATGCACAGACAGTCAGTTGGTACCTTCAACAACAAACAATTGAATGGCTGGAGTTGGCACCATATTCTCCTCATTGGAATTCAAGTGAGTATGTGTGGGGTTAGCTAAAAGTTTATAAACAATACTTCCGGGTAGCCTAAACAATTTCACAAACTTACTGAACAAAGTCTGGAATTTTATACCAGAAGTCTCCCTCCATTTTACTTTTTTACATATGTCATGACACTGTATAGTGCTACAGACCTGAGGAGGCAATATATATATCACTGAACCTGTCATTTTGTCACCATTCTGTGTCTATAACAAAATTAACATGTTAGAAAACACAGAATTATTCTTTCAGTGTTTGAATCTTAAAACAAAGCATCATATTCCCTATGTTTTATGCTCAGAATAACACACTCCCTAAGTTTTTTGTGGAGTGTATGTTATGCTAAGCAGTATTGAACATAATACCCAAGTACTGAATTGAAATCATAGTTCAGGCATTAAATATTTAACTCAGATTCTGCCTTAAAACATATAAAGTTGAGAAACACAATAATAGTTGCAGTATATTTCATGAAATGTTTGTGAGGTATAAGATTAAGTTTTACATGGAAGTTGCAGGTAACATTAATTCCAGAAACTCCAGAGAGGATACACCAAAAAGTTTTAGGAAAAATAACTACAGTTGCATTTCTAAGCACAATGTTTTCTTACTTCTCCAAAACTTCCATGATGATAAACTGGAGTTGTACAGCCTACATCTTCTGGAGCTGTGACAATAGAAAAAAAAACTATTATGTTTACTGAACTTATCATTCTTAGTAATTTATTCATCCTAATATGACTGTTTAAAACGTTATTAATTAACCAATTATACTGTAAACAAAATTAACATGTTAGAAAAGAAGAACAGTTCTTTGCTATAATTTCTTAACAGAGTTTTCAGTGTTCAAATAACAAGGAAAGACTGAAAAAGCTACTTCATTACTGCTTGGATAGAGAATTGTAAATTTATTTATGGATGTAGCAAAAAATCCAGCTTCTATTCATCATTTCTCAATTAAATAAAGTATTTAAATTTTTGTTTGTTTGTTAAAACACTTAAAACTACTGGAAATTGATTGAAAAACATCATTATTTTTTTCATGCAAATAATTAACTTTACACTTAGCAATTAGTATATTTTTACATTCTTTGACTATAATAATTTTTAAGTATCAGTGTGATATCCAGTTATCCACATATCAAAATATAGTTGATCATCAACTACAAAACAAGTTTATTCCATTTTGTGACATTTTATGTTCCTCATCAACTAAATAAACATAGGTAGTTGCAAAACAGTAGTGTTCTCATTAGGTTTATAAACTGTCCAATCAATGATTTGATACACACACTATTAAAAAATAACTGAAAAAAGTTAAGAAAAACAAATATATTCCATTTTCTTTAACAATTTTAAAGTGAGAAAAAAGCTTTTATTTGTAAGCTTTCAGTTTTTTTAATTTTCTCAAATATTTTTGATGTTAACTAGAAATAAAGTGAAGCCTCATTAAACGAAATGCATTTGTAATTGACTAATTCTTCCAAATTATCAAGACATCTGAACAGCCAAATCAGTCGCTTTGAATACATTGGACATAATTAATAGCATACATTATCAACTGGCAAATAGTGGGCATGTAAATGTAAACAAAAAATCAATTGCATGTACAATACACTTATCAGTCTGTTACTTTATATGTTGTCAATAATTATGCAAGCTGCTTAATCAAAATGGCCTTTCATTATGTTCACATAAAATATCATTTTGTTCAAACCAAGGACATACCTACAGAATACAAAATACTTAGTATTGGTAAAATATACAACAAATAACTTTACAAATAAGAATGTAATCACAGTCTGCTTTTGAACTACATTTTTTTCTGCTGATTCTTCTCGGTAGCTTTAAGCAAATAACACATTAGATCATCATTTTCTTCACATAAATCAATGTTTTGTTTAAACCATGTGATGACGTCCTTAAGGCTATATTTTGGATCATTTTTGATATAAAATTCACTGTCACCTCACAATAGGAATGACCAGTTGATTCTACTAAGTTCATGTTCAGCCACCGGTCAATCAGCTGACACAATATCATTAATACTCAAAAGTAAGGTATGAATTTCAGAAGCAATCTCATTAATGACTTCTGACACTTCAACAGTTTAATCTGTTCAGACTGCAGAAAAATTTTGACATGCTGGAACCAGTTTTCATAATAGCACTGGACCATTTGTAAAGCCTCTCACAGACATTCACTGTTTATGGATCATTATTTTCAGCACATTCTATGTACTTTCTAATCAGTTGACGATGGTAGTAAGCTTTGAATGACCTGATTATGCCAACATCCACTGTGACTTGACATGACTGTAACATAAGCGACTCTAATGACTTCTCAATATTTGATATAGTTTATATGTACATCCATACTGTGAAGGTCATTCTCAGAAAATCTGTTATAAACTGATACCCACTGGGTAGTACAGATGTTTTGTGGTCAGTAATCCTCACCTCATTACCTGTTTCGATCGACTCCTATTTGACTCTTGTGGCATCATACGAACTACCAAAATCATGTACCCATGAGAAATGCATGTTTGTTACCTCATTTTCTGTTCTAATCAACCCCAACTTGACTCTTGTGGAGTCATGTACAAATTACTAAATCATGTATATATTGGAATTGCATGTTTTTTATAAGAAATAAATGTTTGGATTCATAACATGAATGTATGGATTATTGATTAAATTTCTCAATATACAACTTGTCAATGTGAAAAAGTACCTACATTGTCAAAGTCCTGACTAACAAAGATTTACTGTACAGCGGAATTTCTTTTCATTTATTTGTTTGTTTCGTAAAGGTGGAAACATAAATGTCAGTTTAGTGACAAGTATTCCACAATAAATAACATCAGATACTATATATATTAGATATACTACCTGTACCATGATATCTTTAATGAAACTTACATTTCAGTATTAACACAATAAAACACAGGAGAGCTTTTGTCTGTATGTTTACATAGTAATGTATTACACAGATACGTGAGTAAAGTCCAAAAAATCTTACTAATATATTCTACAGATAAATAAGACAATATTTTGCACAAAAGTTAATGTAAAACTAAGTATTCATCTAAGAATGACTGTAAAATATGTTAGATATAAATAAAGCTCGTGGAAAACATTTATCAAATCCTGTTTTTTGGTTTAGGCTAAGTATCGTAGCAATATATTTGATACATTCAAAATGACATTTTACAAATAAGTACAGCTTTGATATATATATACACATTACTTATCATTATCAAGATATTGAAAAAGACTAATTATGTTCTCTTTAGGTACTGAAATATCATGTCATAAATGGTTTAAAGTTTCTTAGTAACTCCTCACAGAACAATTAAACTGTTGCAAAAACAAAATTATGCAGTAATCATGTTTTATTCACAGCAATAAGCATTAATTTACAATAAGTATATACTGTTTTCTACACTAAAATAAAACCAGACATAAAAGTTGTAATATTAAAAAAATTTACAAAGAAAGAACCTAGCACTCACCAGGTACAAGAAAAAGAAAAATCAAGAAACCAGAAACTCCAACAATGGCTGCAGGAATAATAAATGAATAGCCCCAGTTGTCTTCTACATAAACTCCTGCCACATAAGCTCCTAATATGTTTCCTATATAAAGGTGAGAATTCCATAATCCAAACAAGAGGCCCCGTCTGAAATAAATTATTTACATGTTAAATCAATAAAAATGCAATATACCTAATAAACCATTGTGAACAAGAATACTTTTACACAGAAACAAGGACAATCAATGTGCAAAGTTAAATCAATGAAAATTCACTCTTAAGGAGGCCTTAGCTAGTGGAAATATAATTTGGGAACAGTATCATTAAAAATTATAATAAATGTTATAATAATGCCTTTTAACTAAAATAGTTTTATAAATTCAGTTTTACATACCTGTCAAAAATAAACTACGGTTAAAATTCATGTATTAAAACAAAACCATACCTTTTCAGATTTGCTTATGCACAAGGAATTTCAAAGTCTTTTTTTTAAGACCACTATGGTTTGTCACATACCACCACCACACGTGATGTAGGACTGTAAATACAGTAATTTCAATGACCTACTAATATGTATTATATTTGTGGTGATGTAGTCAGTCTGCTTATTCATTTTGATAAAAAGGCTGACACAAGAAACATGTGGGTGTCATAATAGTTTCTGACTATTTTACAGACTTCACAAGTTTTTTAGTGTTACTGGGTTTTCTAAAAAACCCATTATAAGATTTCATGATATTATCAGGTATTCTTTGACTTTTCTGCCAAGGTTGTTTATAATACTTTATTTCTTTTTATAAAAGAAACTTAATGATTTAGGTTAATATTGGGTTAAGGTATTAAACAAAAAATCATAAATTTACAGATTAGCAAAAAAAAGTAAAAAAGTGTACATTACATATTATTTCTTGTATAATTTATAAACAAAATTAAATACCTGTGTATATATACACAAAAATTATTATTTAATAAAACTGGATTGTAAATTTGGAATCACAGATGTTATTTTAGAATAATGTGATATTTTTCTCTGACACAATTTTTAGTTTATTTTAGTGGTCATTATAAAATATATTTACCTAGCTTTCCCAAACCAGTTCCCAAGGCAAGTAACAAGACTAGGCCATCCTGTGCTTTGAAATGCTCCAGAAAATAGCTATTGTAAAGATAAAATAAGATATAATTTTTATGATAATATGAAAAAAGTATCCAGTTAGCAATTTACACAAAATATTATAAACCAATTCTGAAAGTCAAGTCAAAACCCTATTATATACACAGTACTCTTATATATATATATATATATATATATATCATACA